ACAAATAATTCGCACAATTAATTAATAAATTATAATTATAGAAAATGTATTTTTTAAAAATTTTCTATTATTAATTTATATTATTGTATTCATTATTTGTATTATTATGTTAATTATACAAAAAACAGTTTGAAATAAACCATAAAATGATAAAATTTATATATAGGTAATAAATATAATGGCTCTGATGAATATGAAAAGGCAATTGATTTTTAAAAAAGGGTTGTGGTTGTATATAGAGGTTGGAACCGGCCAAAAAAACCTATTTGTCAAAAATTTAAGCAGAGGTTAATGTTAATCAAATCAAATCAGAATCGCACAATTACAGTCCATTCTCTCTATAATGGATCTTGCTTTATAACTATAACGGACTGAGAATTTAAGCTCAATTTATATTAACATATCTCACATTAATATATAAAAATCATTACTGTATATAACAGATAACAGATTCTCTCTATAATGGATATTTTTTTCATAAGCCAAATGTTCCATTGTAGATAGTGTAATTTATATAAAAATTATAATTTTAATAATGCTTCTTCACCTTATAAATATATACTACTGTATATATTAAAAATTTTCTATATTTTACAAAAAATGAATAAAATTAAATAACTGTTATATTATTTATCTTTCAATAAATTATTACAATAATACTAAAGCAAATATATGATGATGATAAATTATAATTTACTACATTACAATACTTCAAAGACTTCAATAAAGAGTAAACCAATTTAATTGTATCTCTCTTATACTCTCCATTCTTTTGCATTTAGCTGATAATGTGAATGTGGCTTCATTTTACCTATTGAAACAAAGATTTAGTGGAACGGTTTGTCATTTTAAATTTCTAAAATTAAAAAATGATTCAGGATTCTGCTATTAATTATTAATCCCCACACTATTAGTTACATTTTAACCTATTTTAACCAGTTCCGACCTCTATGTGGTAATACCAAAGGAAGAATTTGCAGAATTATGTGAATCGTTTTAAGTTTCCAAGTCTGAACATGACATATTTTTGATGGCATAGATTAAAGCAATGAATGAATGATGGGTCAATAAGAACTAGCAGACTCTTAAAAAGAAGGTCAGATCTAGTGGGGAACTTTCTACCACTGATATCACATTACACCTCTTTGTTAAAAAGTCATTTTAATATGTTAGGGATTGACGGCACTTACTTTGAAAACATCTGATAAATAATGGCCTTCTAGTAAGGGTTCATGGTAATGTAAAGAATATGCCCCTAAAATGGTGATTGTCAAAAGTGTTAATCACCAAGCTCAGGAAGAAATAGAATAAAACCAATCAGTTATATTTTTACCAGCTGAAATGAACTATGATCAGTGTATAGAGATTTTCTTGCTAGTCTAAAAGAAGATAGTCCTTGAAATGTGATGCATTCAGGAAGCTGTGTCATCAACTGACACCAGAAATTCAAATAATGAGTCCCAAAACCGATTTATGTGATACTTGCCAACATTTTCATAATGGTCTACATTACAATGTTCATCAGAAGCCAAAGAATTACTTAAAAGATTTAAAGAACATCTATCCAAGGCAAAATTAAAAAGGAGCTAATATAATAAAAATACTAATTGCCAGAAGAACAAAAAAAACTGGTTAATCAAAACTATTCCAAAGGTAAAACACTGCATTGCAGTATTGATGATTGAGCCCAAAATGTCCATGTACCACATTCTGATCAACCCGTTAGGTTTATTTATTATTTTAGTCTATGTAAAGTCCATTTATTTAGTATTCAAGATGAAGCAGTAAGAGAACTAACTGGTTATGTTCTTGATAAAGATGAAATTATAGGGAAAAGTCCTAATGGCACACTTAGTATGATCTTTGATGAAAGGCATTTTAAGGTTTACCTGTGACAATCCTAGTGGACAAAATAAAAATAAGTGTGATGGTAATTTTGACTTAATTAAAAGTGAAGATTGTGTGTATCATGTTGTTGAAGTTGTAAAAAGCCTACTATTGCGGGGTTGAATATAACTCAATGCTATGAGGCGGGAAGAGGTTTTCAATGCTTAGATATCAACCCTATTTTGGGAACTTATTTTAAAAAATTGAATGGTCTGCAAAAATATCAACATTTTTTTTTGGAGCATCTAATAACAGTGTTGTCAAAACTCAGGAGGTCACTAATGGATCTTTTGCTGAATTCAATTTATTGAAGACCAGGAAAACAGATATTTCTGAATTTATAAAAGAAATCAGAGTTTTGTTTATTTAGTGTTAACACCCTTCCTCTGGATTGCAAATGGTAAGAATACCTTTATAATAATATTTGTCCGTTTATTAAAGATGGATTCAAAGATATCACCTGTCCAATACCAATTTACATTGTCAATGAATAAAATATATTAATGTCAATATGAATCAAAATAAAGTTGATTGCCCTTATTGTCTAACCAAAAAATCTCCCAACAGGAAGGGTAATTTATGATTAAGATGAATGTTTACGATCTTTAAAGCCAAGTATATTCTACAAGTTTTCAGTAAACAAAATACAAGCATCGAAATGCTTCAACTTTGATGGCTATAGATTAATTCCATGGGAGGGGGGAGAATTAAAAGATTTAAAAGCCAGGAAGTTAGATCAAGCTTTTATGGTTATTCCAAAGGTATGATGTTAATCTTTTTCTTATACATAGTGTGTCTTGGTTTAGTGGACCTTGATTTAGTGGATTTAGGGTTCAATGGATAAATTTTCAAAATCAAATTTTTGTATAATAATAATTATTTATCTCACTTTAATGGATTTAACAAAATTTTCATATATTAATATATTCGATTTACCAGATACTTTTTTAAAATCCATATATTAATATGTATGTCACTTATTATTAAATTTCTCTCGATATTACGGATAATAATGTCTTTGCCGTTTTTGGCTAGTCTAGTTTTATAATTGTAAGCGTAATAACGTAATTTAATATTAACAATAAAACGAAATTTCTTATAGAAGTACCCAAGAAACAAAACAATGTCTAATTGACGAATTTATGAGCCAACAATGATATTAATATTATCGTTATATTTTTTCATATTTATTTGATGTTTATTAATAAAATTATTAATAAAAACATTTTTTTTTGCATTTAATATGTATCACGTGATTTGATCATAAGTTTCGCTTTTGCGGATCTCTCGGTTTAACGGATAAATTTTCTGGAAAAAAATATCCATTAAATTGAGACTCGCTGTGTATACCTTTCCTGAAGAGTTATTATAGTGTCTGAAAGAAACATTAATCAGCAAATTCGTTATAATTGGTGATGATCAGAAGAGAAACAGATGCTACCACTGGTGTCATTAAAAGAGGTGGTCCAAAAGAGTAAAACCTTTGGTTTATTTCTCCAAAAAATTTTTTTGAAATTCTACAGTTTGCAAAAATCATTAATTCAAATGTTCCTGATTGTTGAGATTGAATCAAAGAAAATAATCATGAATTTGATATCTATATTGATGATAATAACCATTTACTTATCTCAGCCAGAAATAAATCCCATTCTAATGACAAATTTTATATTCCAAGCTCCAAACATTTATCATGCTAAAATAAAAGTGAGTTCTTTAAAAAATGAAGATTTGATAAAGCAACAAAACCATTCTCAAAACATACACCTGTAAAAGGAGAAGAAAATGTTGATAATAAGCCTATTTGATTATTATTAATTATAGTATTTGGCGTTATAGCTATTATTATTTATTATATTTCTAAAAACTAAAATATTTTGTCTTGGAGAAAATTCCAATTGTAAGATATCATTCATATTATTTTTCTTTCAAAGATTTTCACTTTTTATTAGGAAATTGTTCATTTTCTTTTTTATTAATTTTCTTTCTTAATAAAGTTCATAATCTTCAACCACCTGAGTATTGGTTAATTTAAAAACATAAGTCGCAATTTTTTCACCTTGTTCCTTTTCAAAATACTTTTGATTATGCATAATTCTTGGGTTCCATGGTAGATCTGATCTGAAAATTTTATTTTTATTTATGGGAGTAGTTCCATATACCACTTGAGAAAAACAAATGGGACATTATAAAGTTAGTAGTAATATGGTGATGTTGAAATCCTTTGTATTGTAAATATTCACTTTGTTGGGTTTTGTTGTAGCATGCCCCAATTAATAATAGATTCTAGTAATAATGATGGTGACAAAGGAAAAGGAATTAAAAAGATCAATGAGTGTGAATTGAGTGAATTGTGGTGGATTGGATAAATTATCAATGATCTCTCATTTTTATGGTTGCTGTATTACTATTATTTTTTTTTATAAAGACAATATCCTGTTTATATAACTTTGTTGGAATAAAATAAAAAAAATAATTCACAAAATAATTTCTGTTAACTTTATATGAGGCTATTCCTTTTGAAAGTAATTTAACATTTCAGAAAGAATAGATATCCAAACTAAAGACACTTGCCGTAAATGATTTGGCTAGTACCTACCATTGCCATAAATAGCCGTTGGTAGCTACCATTTGCCATAAATAGATGCGTCTGCTGCAAATAGTTTTCAAAATTAATATAATTAGTATTATTGGTTATATTAGTCGTGAGAATTTTCTTGAGTTATTGGTAATCAATGAATTCATTTAGAGTGAAATTATATGTAAAAATAAATTTGTAATTATTTGCAGCAGCCATATCTATTTGCGGCACCGTAATCAATTTGCGGCAACTGTAAATGTTTTTTATAATGGTAACCAATTACAGTAGGTGTCTTTAATCCAAACAAAGTCTATTAGCAATTTTAATTGAATCATAGAGATTGTTGGTTGATCCGGATACTGCCTAGGTAGTGGATACAATTGATTGGCTGTTTTGTTTTAGATTGATGTTTGTTTTAATCACAAGTTAAACAATGTACATCATTGGAAGCCACATATTTTTATAATAGAAATTTATTAGATGATGTGAGGGATGATGATTGAGATTTTTTTGGTGAGAAGTAAATATTGGACATATGGAGTTAATTAGAGAAGATGGAATTAATCCAGCTGCAATGATTATAAGTGGAGTATGGTTGAAGTTAGGTTGGATAGACACTTCATTAAAGGAAGGGAAAAATAAAAGGACATTACTCAGCATTTTGCAAATATTGCCCAAAAATCTTGAATTCTGGAACACCTTTTAAACTAAAGGCTCATTTAGCTAATGAATGTCCTGGATGTCATTATTCTATTTTTCATTTTTATTTGGATGGAATTAACAATCAATGAAACAACGAAATAAACACAAAACAAAAGGTTCAAACTCTTTTATGAAAGCACAACCAAAGAAAAAAATTCAATTGATAAATCATTACTACAGGTTTTGTCTGTCGTGCATTCCATGGAATATTGTTGAAAATCCCTTTTTTATAGAACTTTTGAAACAATTAAGACCTGCATATGAACCTCCTTCTCGTGAGTACCTATCAGAAAATTACTTATAGATGAATCTCATTAACTAATCCACAATTAACTACAATATTTGATTCAAATGATAATTTGACATTAGCACTAACCAGATCGGTTGGTCTGATCCTAAATGCAACTCTATGAAATTTTTTGATATATGCAGTACATCAAATAGACAACAATATTTATTTTCTGTAGAAAGTCTTTCTCATACAGATCAATTTCTTGCTGTAAAATAGGTTCACAAAGATTCGTGGCTATAGTAACCGATAATGAATCTGATGTTAAGTTGGCTAGAGAAATATTTCTGAAGAATACCTCATATATTTGATCTTAGATGTATTGCTTAATGTATAAATCTAATTCTTAAGTTAGTTGGCTATTGCAATTAAAAGAATTCACGCCAACGCAAACTCTAGTCTTAAAATTCTGTACTAATAAATTTGAAAGGATTCTATCATATAGGATATTTACTAGTGATATGAGCCGGCTAAAAAAAAATTTCTCTTAGTATTCATTTTCACGCAAGAAATTTTAGTGCAGACTTCAGTGGCATAGACACTTAGTTAGTATGGGTCCATCTGCATTACTTAGAATAACAAAAAAATCATACGTTTCCTCAAAAAAAAAAAAATATATATATAATACTCGTAGCAGGATAAAAGTAATAGTTAGAGATTATATTCGTCATAATACAATCTTAATTCGAGTTACTATTATTCGAATTATTCGTTTATTGGTTTATTAGAATAAACCTTCAATGTAATTCGAATACTCAGATTTATAGCGAATAAATTTTCAATGTTAACGAATAAAGCAAATAATTCGAATAGGTCTTACTCGAACCATTAAATAGTAATAATGATAGTAAATAATAATAATAATAATAATATTAGTAATAATACCGGCAAGCTTAGTACCATCTGAAAAGCTTCCCCATCAACTGAGATTTATTTAAGTTCTTAGCCGGCTAAGAGTTATTCAGCATAGCTAGCTAAGTTTTTTTTACCGGCTTACATCACTAATATTTACCAGCATATCCAAAAATTAAAAACCTTTCTCGACTGCAGAAATATAGATACATGTACATTATAATGCAACATATAATGTTCAATATGAAAGTCAACTTTCATGATGGTATACGATAATTATGGCCATTAGCAATTAAATTCTTCTCGATTGCTCCACATAATGGTAGATATGAATGCATTGGTTCATATTTAAGGGACTTTATAGGAAGAGTAGTCAAAATCCAAATATTAATTCTGTAAAAAATATTGCTAAAATTTATCCTTTTTATCTGAGCAATATTAAAAAATAATTAAAACATACCGGCCAGGCTTATCAGAAAAGAATTTAAAGAGTATATGGCTGAAGCATAAGTTAATTCGGGTGATAGTCTAGTGATTATATTGATGATAACAATGATCACGAGACGGAGGATTTAGAAGTTCGCGATACTATGGATTTAGAAGATAATTTTTTGGAAGACAGACGAGAATATGGAATTGGAAAGCTGTAAAGATTATAATGATGATAATATTAATCCAGATTATGATCCATTAGAATTAGTTTGATAATCAATGAATGAGGATTTGTTTTCGGAAATAATAAATGAAGAAGCATTTCAACAATCAAAAAAAAAAAAAAAATCAAACAATTATAATATGATTTACAGATTCTAAAGAAGCCAACAATAAATGTGAAGAAGCAACAATTGGTTCGAATTGAAATCACCCATTATAATTAAAGAGAAATTATTTTGCAAGCTTCGATTGATAAATGAAATTAGTTGATTATGAGCTGGAGCTACTAATGTTAGGATCAGAGATTGCTGGTGAATATACTTGGATGGTGCGAAGCTTGATTCGATTAAGAAAGAGTAAGCCTGCAGCTATGTATCTTCCTTTGATGATGTGATTTTTTGATCATACTTTGTTAGGAAGGGTAAAAACACCAAGTCAACATCTGCGCTGTCGGGATGGTCTGAACCCCAATTCCACCATCCATGATAATCTTTGGGGAATATTTTGCCGATTTAGGAGGTAATATAGTTTCTGATATACCTAATTAACTATTGAGTAATGACTAATTAATGAGTTAATGGCATTTTGTTTGGTAATTGTGTTTAATCTTCTAAGTTTTATTTTGGCAAAATTTCCTATGTAGTTGATAGTAATGGAGAATTGTAGAAATTTGGTGGACAAGAGTGTATGTTAATGTTTTTTATTAACTATTTAGCAAACATTTATTTCGATAGAATAAATATGAATTCAAATAAATCATTAACATATCTCAAATGTGATGGTTTTATCTCCCCAAAGGAAAAGTGTCAGTATTGTCATTTGACAATAACTTATACCTACTATATTATTCACCCGAAGGTAAAGCACAGCAGTTGATCTTTAATTTGTCAGCTAAACAAGATCTTCTTATTAACCCAAAATCCAGCTCATAATCCAGAACAATTAAGCTCACTAGTCGAAATAAATGCTTGAAAAAGCCAAGTGAACTTTTCCTTTGTATCTTTGTGGTCGCGTATTTATTTAGCATATTCTCTTTTCCACAATTCAATTCCCAAAGGTGTAACTTAAGGCATCGTCTGGAACATTCCGATTCTGCATATAAAATTGAATTTCTCTATGCAACAACTTTAGCATATTTTCCACAATACAGACAACATTACCTTGTAATTATGATGCAGTCATGTTGCTTTGTTTCCCTGATTCATTTAGTTACATCAATCTCTAGCCCCTTCCTGCATCCTTCTGCTTCGTTATGATATAGCGAGTTGAAGTTCACTTCATTAAGGCTTTTATAATTTATTTTATCAAGAATCCGCAGCTATTAGAAACGCTGATAATATTAGGATCAATCGAATATTTATATCGGTTTGTTGGGATCATTTATCCATAAATGCCAATTTTCTTATACTTTAATAAAAAATTTAGTCGGAAGAAAATAAATCTTTGAAGTAAGATATAAATAACAGCAATAGCAAATAACTAATAAATTGAGTTCATGATAAAAAAAGATTAGTTATATATTAATGTGTACTCTAAAAAATCTCATCAGCACACTAATACTAATACTATGAGTTGCGAGGGCAAAACAAATGGGACCAAATGTGCTCCCTGGACAAAAGTTTCAATCACTACAAATCTAATAATTCCGCAAAAACGTACATTATAAAAATATAAATAATTTATACGCAAAATTTAAAGTCTAGGAAAATATTAAACTAAATGTCATTAAAAAAATGCAGCTTGTCAAAAAAATGCTTAATTGCCCAAAAATTACATAACAACGACACCTGGATTTTAGCATGTGATAACTTGAGTGCACGTCGTATATTTTTACGTTTTTTTGTTGTTTATATTGCTAAATTTGAAAATTAAATAAAATTGTCAATTTTAAAGAACCTAAACGTGGACAAATAATTGGACTTTAGGAACGCAGCAATAATATTTCTAAATCACTTGGCTTTGCAAGAACAGCTGTAGTCAGAACGATAAAAAACTTCCAGATGAGAAATTTAGCAAGCGGATGCTGAATCATTAGAATGAGTTGAATAATGAAATTACAGGTTTACAGTTTTCAACTAAGTTAGTAGATTAAATATTTATCCTCAAAAAAAAAAAAAAAAAAACTGGTTGAATCTTTTATTTTTTCAATTGTTATTTTCCTAGATAGAAACCTCAAATTTTACAAAATTTACAGATTGGTTACATTCTCATGTAATGCATTTTTCCGTCGTATTTTTTTTTTTTTAAAAAAAGGAGGGAGCAATGAATATTTAAATATGAAGCATCCCAGATATTCCCAAGTTTATCGATGCTCTTCAATTTATTGGACACAGAAAACTTGATCACCCACTATACTTGCCCTCTCGAGTAAGTATAATGGGCCTCGTTTGCAATTTAGGATTGATGAATTGGCCATGATTTTATGTCCTTCCCGAGTTTCACCAGATGACCTCCTTCGATAGATAGAGCCAAATTAATAAATAAGCCGTTTTCATTTAACGTCCAACTAGTTAAATGACCCTGGAACATGAAAAGCAGTTTGATATCATTTAATGAATTACATGAATAATCAAATCTTTTAAAGTTAATTATTTCATAAATAATTACTTAAAATTCCTTCTGCTTATGATTTAAAACTATTGCACCAATGTTGTGATTCTAGACTCTGAGTTTGAGGAAATACCCTCCCTAAATTAGTTTATAGAGTTTTTAAAATTTAAACCTTACCGAAATTTAAATCCATACTCAAACTCAAACACAAAAATACCGAAACCTAAACCCCCAAAACTCCTACCAACAAATTATTTTTATTATCTGAACTATTTTTACACCAAACAATAACTATTTTTTATATCAAAATTAATTTGTCTTTATTGTAAAATATTACCAATTGATTTTATTTCAAAATTTATTGCTATTAATTTATTTTTTAAACTTTAATTGCTATTTTTTAAACTTTTAATTCGTAATCCGTGAAACAACTGCAAGAATTTGCCGATCATTAACAGGGCTGGAAATAGTATAAAAATCCGGATTTTTAAAAAATTTTAACTCCCTATTACTATCCCGAAAAAAAAAGAGTTGCCGGATATTTATATTTTTATTTTTATTTTTTGTACCAATTTTTCCATCCGCATAAAAAAAATTTATATAATTGGCTCGGTCTAAAGACCTCCTAAAATTTTAAAAGTATAGAAGTCACTTTCTGTCCTACCTTTTAAAAAAATAGCTCTATTGGTTGATAGAATATGTCTTTAGTTTTAATGTAATAGAGAGATTTTCTCAAAAAAATTATTTGTTGTAGAGTTCTATTCTTTTTTAAAACATGTATATATATACTTTACTATGCTCGCGGGGAATTTTGTCCACTATGATCATTTCTAAATTTAGGAAAAATATTACCAAATTTAGACTAGCTCTTAACTATCGTATCTAAATTTGGCAGTAAGAAAACTAAAATCACGTAAAGTCCTATTTTTTGAAAATTTTTGAACGAATTACAAAATTAC